TTTTTTTTTTTCTTGTACAGGCCGATAACGGCCCACGTGCGCAGGCCGAGCTGCGTGCTCCCCCGCCTGGGGGTGGCGCGGACTCGCGCGAACTCCGCACCGCGGCCTCGGCCGCAGCCGAGGGTGCCACGTAGCCGTCAATTAGGAATTTAGGACCAGCAATCTGTCTGTCCAGCTCAGATGAGCTAACTGATCAAACAGAAAAGAGATCATTTGCTTCCTAGGAAATGCACGGAATGCGGAAATAGAGAGTCACTACAATTCGCATTTTCAACTTTGAGCAGGAATCCACCCCTTTCTAGGAACTTCACACTGATCATCCCCACGCATTGACATTATCTAGTATACCAACCAGTTTCAAAATATCCACTTCCTATCAAAGCATAGAGATCTGTGAAAAAAATTGGTATGCATAGATAGCCACTTTAGTACTGGTTTCTGGATTTGAAAAACAGAATCTTTTTTTTCTCGAAACATAACAAAGATATCAACTCTACGTGTCAAATCTTGAGTGTTTTGCAGGCGCTCGCAAGAGATCACTTTTTCGTGCAACAAACAGAAAAACAGTACTGTCTTACAGTGAACAGGGCCCACCTGTGTGCCCAAGTTATAATTGGGGGAGGCCATTGGCCAATCCACTTTGCAATTTATTTATAGTCGCATGCAGCGTGACTGGATTGTCCTGCCACTGTCTCTCGACTCTCTTTATAGACGGTCTGGAATATGTCTTTACGTGTGCTTTGCCCTCCCAAGGCACTTCACACTGTTCACAGGCACTGCCCTTTTCAGTCCAGATGCGCCAAAACAATGCCGACTCTCAATGTAGAGCGCTCTCTCTCTCCTGAGTCCTAACCAAGAGAAGAGAGGACTCTCAGGTAGAACTCTCCTCCTCGCGGCAAGAAGAGTAAATGATGGTAAATATGGGCAGATACAACGTACCTTGTTAATGTTGCCCCCAACCACATATTTCTCACCAGCTCTGCTCCTCTGATGATGCGCCACTACTTCAACGGCCGATGGTCGTATCATTGGAACTGCCGTAGAATCGGCGCCAATACAATGCAAGTGTCGTTGCAATGGCCACATCACCTCACTCACAAGAGTCACAACAAAAATTACAAAAATAATTCATTCCCACGTTTACCAAGCCTTCAGACCGATGGCTCTCTGCCCAAGGATGGAGGAACACCCGATCAGGACAATCGTGATCACACGGCACGACAACAGACCAACCAAAAGCACTGGAGGGAAGAGGCGAAAGCCTACGGGCCAGCTTTTGTACCGAATTGCAAGGAAATGAGCAATGTCAATGATAATAATGCAAATTACAGCATTCCACAGAAGTGCTGATAACCTTGAGCCGAACTGAAAGCAGAATGCAAAGCGCACCAAATAAGATTGAGCAAAGCATTGAAGTTTCGTGATAATGAAAGGCCTCTCTCGCCTCTAATCCTTAATGTACAACAATGTTGCCCTCCTACTGGTGGCTGTCCACCACTCCGACGAGTGACAGACGCTCCTGTTGGACCTTGACTCATACAACAGGTCCAGATGGAAGATCCGCCAGATGGCTTTCGAGGACTGATTAAACAACCCGCTTTTTCAACACCAGGTAAGTGCGTTGTCACACTGCCCACACCTTACATTTCCATCACCCATCTGTCCCTTCTTGCCCAAGGATTTGCACTCATCCACCACTCTGCGCTGCAGCAAGTAACCAGGCTATGGCTGTCGCTCACCCTCTTGCTGCCGGCTGCCATGCAGCTTCCTTCCCTGGCGTTGCTTCCTCCCCCCGGGCCCCCGCAAGAACTGGCGCAGCCCTGCCGCATTGCTTCCCACCCAGAATGTGCATTAAACCGGCCTTCGAGTCTTTTTTGCCAGCTGGGAGGTAATGCCGCATGTGACTATTCTGGGCCCTGTCCCTGTATCCTGCGCCCTGGTCACTTCCAGAATCTGCACGGGGCCTATATACATGAGACGAGGGCCGTAGAATCCTGCGGCCTGGGCATCAGCATGTTGAGCCGTGGGCCCTAGCATCTTCAGCCAATAGGAGGTTGGGCCATACCCACTGGTTGAAAATGGTGGTTGCAGCAACTTCGCACAGGGCCCCAATCACTGCTGACATCTGCCTGGATTCAGGTAAGGGCCAAAATTTGCAGGCCCCTGTTCACTTCGGCGGGCAAGGCCTTTTCCAGCATTAACGGGGGGCTCATTCCTCCCAGATCCATACATGAAAAACTACCAATTATTTATGCAGTTTAAAGCCCCTCTGGATGCTAATTCAGGGAAAACTATGTGGGAAACACCAAATAATTCTTATGGAAGGAGACCATCCTGTCATAATACAAAGGTTTTGGTCACAGACTCACAGTCAAGCAACAGCCACAGTTTCCAAGCATCACCCGTGTTGGGTACTGAATCTACTGATCTCTTCCTCACCACTCCATGAAGATCACCCATCAATGCAAAGTGCCAAAGTCTATACAGAGTAACAGAGTGCTCCAGAAGTAACGATCAATTGCTTGGTTTTCTTCTACACCCATCCTCTGTGCGTTACAGACTGACAGTCAATTCCAAAGTAATTTCCACACCGAAGTGTGTTGAAGCTATGAGTGACATCGGGATAATTGGTAGATACTACCTAGTACCCACTGCTACTTACCAATTATCGCGGTCACATCCCTCACGGTGTGGAATAGCTGTCAAAATAGCTGCTTTTATCTAAGCAGCAACACACCGAAGTGTGTGCACATGTCTGCTACTGCAACAGCTTGTGTTCATCCGTCATACCAGGCCTCACGTGTCCGTTTTGAGAGCATACATCCATCAAACCAACTGCCTTTGTGGCGGTCCTTGCCCTTGTTATGACAATTTCGAGCATCACTCGTATCAGGCACTCACTACTTATTTCTTCCTCCCGTCTCGATGAAGATCACCAATCAATGCAAATTTTGCAAAACGCATACAAAATGCTCCAGAAGTAAGCGCCAATGGTCGGTCACATAGCTGGTCGACTGAAGACGAACCGCTCCTGATGATGCCCAACCTATCTCAGAGACGGAGGTGACCGAAATCACACAGCGCGATCGTACTCCAGAGGAAGAAGCAAATGGACCACAAAGCCCATTACCAAACACAAAGGCTGTCATGAACTTATGAATACTCCGAAATATACATAGATATCAGGCTTTACCAGCAACCAGGTCAAATAGAACGCACTCTCGAAGCGAGTCACCAACAGGATAGGCTCTATGGAAACGACGAGGCCTTTACGTCCTGTATCTCCCTCTCAACAACAGCTAGCTTTCCTAACAAATGTTTGTACTTATGTTTTGCCAAAGCTGCAAAGCATAGTAGATACCAAGCATGAGTCACACCCCCCCTCCGAGTAGGTCACTCGCCAGGACCTTATTATTGACACCACGTGGTTCGTACGAACGCCCATTCACTCACCTATCAATATCATGTGACTAGAGTATATCCAAACCCTAAAGAAAGAAAGGTCCTTATATGTGACACTGTGGTCGTTTATATGTTTGTGTGCGTGTTAGAACTTAGACGTGTTTGGTCGTCTGTGTTTGTCTGTTTGTGTCTGTATGTGCACGCGTGCATGCGTGCGTGTGTGTGTGTGTGTGTGTGTGTGTGTGTGTGTGTGTGTGTGTGTGTGTG